TATATATATATATATCAATGCCTGTTTCGATGGTCTGAAGAAAACTATTTAATTAAAGTTGCATGATTTTTTATGAATTTTTCTTTCGATAATGATATTTGAAAAACAAATGAAGTTCAACCAAAATGGCTGCGGATGTTAACTTTGTTAATTTAAATGGAACACCCTGTATATTTTTAGATATTTGGATAGAACGTTCCTTATCGAGCAGTCATATAGGGTTTGTTGGGTTCATCTCTAACAATAAGCGAGATACTATTAAAAAAAGAAAAGAATGTTTTTTATTAAGAAAATAAGATATCTTGTAATTGTTAGACCTCTTTCAGGAACTTCTGCCTTTTTTCCAATTACGTAAGGGTTTACAGATTTAGTTGTAATATATTTTGACATATCGGACATTGATATGGTCCAAAATGCGTATTGGTATTCTAACTAAATCTCAATAATTACGCTATGAGAGGCCTAATTACTCATGGACAATGTTATATGGTAAGCCGTGACAGTGACAAGTAACGTCATGATAACATTGTTATTGATTGACAGTTTGTATTATTAATTAATTAAAATAGGTTACACAGAAGTAGAAAATTGAAATATTATTAGGAATTAAAATAGAGTATGGAGAAGATCTTTACTCTATTTTAATTCTTAAAATATTTCAATTTTCTACTTCTGTATAACCCATTTTAATTAAATAATAATACAAACTATCAAACAATAAGAATGTTGTTATGACATTACCTGTCACTGTCACGGCCTACCATATAACATTATCCATGAGCAATTAGGCCTCTCACGGCTTAATTAGTGGGATTTAGTTAAAATACATATATATAATGCATTTTGGACCATATCAATGTCCGATATGTCAACATATATTACAACTAAATCTTAAATCCTTACGTAATTGGAAAAAGGCAGAAATGCCCGGAAGAGGTCTAACAATTACAAGATATCCTATTTTCTTAATAAAAAACCATCTTTTCTTTTTTTAATAGTATCTTGCTTATTGTTAGAGATGGACCCAACAAACCTTATATGTCTATGCTCGACAGAGAATGTTCTATCCAAATATGTAACATTATACATAACAAAGTTAACATCCGCTGCCATTTTCTTTGGACTTTTTTTGTTTTTTTACCATCATTTTCAAAAAATTCACAAAAAATCGTGCAACTTTTGAATCTTACATTTTTTTATAGCTCTAAAAACAAAAAAGTTAGTGGGGGGGGTCAAAATATAGTGAATCACCCTGTACATAAACATATTTACTATCCAGTAATCCAAAAATATCGGTAATCCGAACTTATCTCTTTAAGCCCGTGTCTTAATTAATTGGAATTAAAGAGTCTATACTGTAATAGATACAATACAAAGTTGTTTAGGTGAAAAGAAAATTTGAATTTTACATCATTTATCATTATAAATAAGATTTTCTTGATATACTTATAAATAAAAACATATTTATATTTTTCCGATTATAAAATTATTATTGTTCTCTGCTTATAAGTCAGATGTTATTGATTATATATTTTTTTCAGAATGTTCGTGTTGCCGCACTGCAATGTTTGATCCATTTTTCTGCTCTTCCTCTATACAGAATTTTACCTTTCAAACAAAAAGTCCTTTATCATTTAGAATCTTGCATCGATGATAAAAAACGTCTTGTAAGAAAAGAAGCTATGGAAGCCAGGGCTCTTTGGTTCCTTCTTGATGCACCAATATAAACCGAATTTTATATAATTGTTTATATACTTAATTATTTTAATTATACATAGTTTAAAAAAAATAAAGTTGTTATATTAAGCCTTCGCACACAAGTGCCTTGTATTTCACAATTATAAAATGAATAATCTCAACATGCACGATTTAAGTATGTATTTTTTAAAATGCCAATGTTATTGCTCATAGTGTTGAAAGGGTTAGAGAGAAAAAATGTATTGGATGAATAAAAAAAGGTTTCAGAAATTTATTTAAAAGCCCATTTTCTTTAAATTTTTTAAGTAACTAAACTTTGCATTAAATTTAATGTTGCATTTTTTGCAAAAAAAAAAATATGTGAAATGAGTTTTAGTGACTATCAGAAATCAGTTAATCTGTATAGTTGTTTATATTCGGTTTTATTAGAAATATAACTATGTAGTTAAAAAAATAAGTTTTATTACAGTTGAAAATTTGTGTATAAAATTGAAAATAAGTATTTATTGACATTTTAGAGCTGTTCCTAAAATAGTCCAAAAAAGGGCAAATGAAAAAATTTTTAGATAGAAAACAATTATAACCCATATACAGTAAAATCTAATTAATCCGGCACGATTAAAAACTTGTGCCGAAGTACTGGAAAATTTGAATTAATGGAATATGTAAACAGCATTAAATTAAAAAACGTTACTTTAAGTTTTTTTTTGTGAAATACGGTTTTTACAATCATTACTTTTCAAATAAGAACAAGATGCAACAATTTGTAGAAAAACACCATTTATTTTTCATTAATGGAGAACATAATAACCAGAATATAAATATAATGTATAAAGGTGAATGATATGTATGATAAACATGTGTGCATGGGGAACCGCTGAAACGTGCACGTGCATATCATATTCATTTTTATATCAAAGCAAACTGTATGGAAAAAATCGAATCATTTTTAGTAATAATTATCATTTTTATATATTAAGGTATACACTACTTTTTTATAATTTATTATTTCAAAAAACGTCGAGTAATGTACATGTTACAGCATACTGCATATTCTATTTTTTTTAAAAATATTGACGTTTATAACAGTAACTTAACAAAATTAATTGAAAAATGTTGAATGAAAAAAGTAAAATAAAGTGTATCTGAACATATATTCTTTACTTTTTGAAAGATACCTATATTATACAAGTGCACGGTTTCAATCATTCAATGTACATTTCAACGCCAATGCAGTCAACATAAATTTCTAGTCAAATTTGAGGTAACATGTTTTCCAAGTACAATTTGAGATAGCATGTTTTCGTAGTAACGTGTCGATATATACGTACCTACTACATTTGCATGCGCAAACAGGCTGTTACAAATTTGCTTCTCACTACAGGGTTCTCGGAAACGGTAAGAGGTATGAAGTAGCTTAAATGGGGGCAAAGTTGCGTAATCAGGAGACCAATATTATGCCTCTAAAATATCAAGGCTGACATGTTTAGTTTTCGAAATATTTGAAAAAATAAATAAATTTTGGAAATCCGGTTTGTTTCATTTCAACCTTGTTCGAGGTGATATTGAAAAAAGAGAACACTTTCTCATTGCAACTTTATGCCCTCTATCGAATGGCATAATCAATTTTTATATGTAACATTTCGTCTTTTCACGAGCAACATCAACTTCATTATTTTCCAATATGGCCTTAGAAATTTTATTACATTTTTTGCAAGCCTTCATGACCTCCAATACTGTACTACTTCAGCTCGAACCAGATTCAGACGTTTTGTCTTGAAAAATTCATCTTCAATGTATTCGTTTCAAATTTATCTAATTTTTTTTAGATTTCTGTTTCTTGAATTATCGTACACTGCTAAGTGTCGTTAGACTCTGTGAAATCCACCTAGTTATTTAAATTATTACTATCACACGTTACAATAAAACATTATTAGAGTTTTAATCCCATTCTCATAGTTATTTCTAGGTTTTTCAAGTGCTCAAAATTCAAACAACAATCTAATTTTTTTCAGGATATTCAGTTATAATATCACAAGAGCATAGAAAATATTCGATTATACTTCCGAGTCACGAGACGTATTCAGTTATAATATCACAAGAGCATAGAAAATATTCGATTATACTTCCGAGTCACGAGACGTATTCTGCGAAACACCACGACAGCGTAGCTGGAGTGGTGTTTTAAGGATGTACGTCGAGTGAGGAGGTTAGTATAATCGAATATTTTCGTTAGCTCGAGTGGTATTCGATACGATTATATAATTCAGAGCTTGAACCGAAGCGTTCCATTTTTTTTTTTGACGTTTATTGACAAATGTTAAAACTATCGTTACCATGACATAGTTCACACCAAAACGGTTATACCACTTCGTCAAGAGTATAATCGCTTATCAATACATAGTAACTACGTAAAATTTGTAATTGCTATTGGCTAAATTTCTAATGAATTATATAATCATACAAATACATCTGACATGCTCTTTCACAAACGCAGTTACAGGTATAATAAATTCCAATCATATATTATGCTTATCTTCATTTTCAACATTTGCCAAAACGGAAACATTTTTGAACATTTACTGTAATTTTTTAAAGTACAATATTCACTTGGAGTTTTGGTTGTTCATATACATTTTTAAGAATTAATTTGCCATAATGAAATTAAAATTGTAGTAACGTTTTAATTTTGACGACGCAAAAACTTATCGAATTATGTATGACCAGGTGATGGAGTTAAAACTGATAATGTTTTAGTGTAATGTGTGATGGTAATAGTTTAAATAACTAGGTGGATGTCACAGGGTCTAATGACACTTTGAGTGTATGATAATTCAATAAACATAGAAATCTAAATAAATATTTTAGATAAATTTGGAACAAATACATTGAAGATTAATTTTACGAGACAAAACGTCTGAATCTGGTTTGGGCTTAAGCAGTACAGTATTGAGGGTCATGAAGGTTTGCAAAAAATGTTATAAAGTTTCCAGGGTCGTATTAAAAAAATTAAGTTGATGATAGTCCTGGAGAGATGAAACGTTACAAATAAAAATTAATCATAACATTCGATAGAGAGGAAAAAGTGGCCATGAGAAATTGTTCTTCTTTTTTCAATATCACCTTAAACAAGGCTGAAATGAAATTATACCGGATTTCCAAAATTGTGTTTTTTTTTTTTCAAGTATTTCGAAAACTAATTATTATTTTAGCCTTGATTTTTTAGAGGCATAATGTTGGTCCTCTGATTATTCAACTTTGCCCCCATTTAAGCTACTTCATATCTCTTACCGTTTCCGAGATCCCTGTAGTGAGAAGCGAATTTGTAACACTCTGTATACACAGGGTGTTTGGAAAAGTTGATACAAAATTCAAGCAGGTCGAAGTAGAGCCAAAATAGTAAAAGTTCCTATAAACATTGGTCCTCCAGAGCACCGTTGCTGAGATATGGTCCTCCAAAGGAGTCTTATCATTTGGATATTTTTTAAAATAACTTTATTTCTGATTAAAATAATGGAATGAAAATTGTAGGTAATAATCATGCCATAAGGGTCTTTAACTATCACAAGTATCAAAATAAATAAGGATAGTTTTTTAAGTACCCTTAACAGAAATTTTTCAAATTTTTTTATTCTTTTGAATTATGAAGCAAATATTATTTTTTAATGAATTACTTTTTTGAAGATAAAATGTCCTTGCCTTTTTTCGAATTCTGCGTAGTTTAGTCAGAAATAATTATTTTTTAAATAATGTATGACAGAACAGTAACTTTTTTTAAACATTTTCACATAGTAGGCACCTTTCATGGTGACAGTTTGTAATAAAAGTTGTAATATAAGAGGCTTTTTTTCGCGACTGAATATTGGTAAATATCTGACTTGTAGTTACTATTTCTATCTCTTTTGATCTTAGTTGTCCTATGGTAGTTTAAATCTTTTCACTCACTCATACGGCACATACTATAACATACGACTTAACTCGCGAAAAAAAGCCTAATAATAATAATGTTTATTTACAGATTATACAGTAAACAATATTGTAACAATAATAACAGCGTTGATACTAATTATTGTCACTTTCGCGTGCTTTCTTAGTTGTGATCTTTGTGCTTGACTTTGTACTTCATTCGATTTTTTTATAACCATGAACCATCATGCTTTTACTAACCGTGAATATGCTAATATGCATTTTATTTATGGTTTCTGTAATGGAAATAGTTGGCGGCTCAAAAAGAGTGTCGGCAATATTTCTCTGATAGAAAGCAACCTTCTGCAAAATTGTTTGGAAAAATCCACGCAAGAACGATGGAATCAGGAGCCCCAACTCCAAGATATAGCGAATTTGGCCGTCCAAGCAGGCGTAGGCATGATTTAGACAAAGTAATTTTAGGGTTTTTTTTAACGTAATTCTACTGTGAGTGTAAGAAGAGTGTCTGCTTATGATGGTTCATGGTTGTAAAAAAATGGAGTAAAATGCAAAGTCAAGCACAAAGATCACAACTAAGAAGGTAAAGAAACCTATGGGGATTATTTTAATTTGTTTGGAAAATGTATGGAAACATGTTCTTAAAATTACTTTGTTACATTTTCCATAAATGACATTAAAATAATCCTCATTAGTATAATTTAAACGATCCCCAGGCATTTTTATTTAAATTTTCGGCAAAACACTTCAGACACAACAAAATTTGAGAACTGACTTGACAAATGTCATGTTACTTCAATTGTTTTTGGAGTATTTCTGGTCATGGCCAATTTGACAACAGGCCTGATACAAGAATAACTGTCCAGAAAATAGAAAATTGCAAATATATCTAAAAGTAGCAACGGCAACTCTAACAATGATAATATGGCTTAAAAGGAAATTTCAATCTGCATACGACAGAGTAACAAATATAGGGTGTTCCGGTTATAACTGTTTGAAGTTATCAAAATGTAACAGCAAAAATGAAACACCTAGTATTAAATGTTTTAATTTATTGGTATACCATAATGTAGGGTTACCTATGCTCTTTACAGATACCAAAAATCCATTTGACATCACGATCCTGAAAAGAGTTACTAGCATCTCCGTGGTCTCTTGCATCTGTCAAATTTTTTCTTTAAAAATGAATATCTCAAAATCCATGACCCCTAGGTATATGGAATATTTAATAAAGTGACCTTCAAATTTCACGTGGAATACGAAAATGCAATAATATATAGGGTGTCCCATTTAGAATAACCAAGTTGATGTCGACTTCCTGTATAACCGGAAGTGCTATATATTTTAACT